ATCTCTCAACGATGGAAATTTTGGGCTCCGTTAAATAAGTCACGGACTACCTGTATAATAAGGAAATTTGAGTTTTCTTATTTTCTGGGGGGGGGGGGGTTTCCCCCCAAAGCAAATGATGGAATAGATGATGTTTCAATATAAACAATTTTCACCCAATATTATGAATCGGATTCCCCTATTGTGTGCATTTTATTGTGCCTTTCGTCCATGGTCAAACATTTGAGTGTAGCCTCAACTGATATTTATGCAGTTAAGTAAAATCTAATTTAAACATCAACTTCTAGGTCTGTTAAATACAAGGGATCCAAAGTATGCAGAGGATATTTTATTCTCCAGACCTTTTATTATTTATAATCCTTGTTTAGTGATCACAATTGGGACCAGCAACTCTTGGCAAAATAGTTGCTAAGTAAAACTACAACTATGCTTAGTTTTGCTCTACTGGTAGTCCTCAACGTATAGCGTAATCGAGCCGACCATTTCAATTGAAAATCACAATGGTCATAAAATGAATAAGCACATAACTGATTTTGCAAGTTGTTTTTTTTTTGCAGCGGTCATTAAACAAACATGGCAGTCATTAAGTGAGCCCATTGTTTAGGTGATACATTTTGGCCGGAAACCAGAAGCAAACACCAGTTTCTAACAAAAACATTATGAGACTTAAGTCTTGTGACGTGAGTGATGCAAACAGTCGTAAATGCAGGCCATTTGCCGAGTGCCCCAAATGTGGTCACATCACCGCAGTGGGTGGATGAGCGGAAGGACGTCATATCTTCGAATCCGTGCCACAAGTCCCATTTTCAGGCTCCGACGTAAATTTGAATGGTCGCTAAGCAACCCATTATTAGTCGAGGGCTACCTGTAAAGACCTCAATGGGACGTTAAATAGGAAGAATGGTCCCAAAGTTATTTTTTCACCAGTGCTGAAACTGCAAACGGACACTAAAAGGGACAGTTGCTAAACGAGGACCTGTCTTCACTGCTGGGTTTCTAGTAGTCGGCAAGATAATTTTTAGGCATGCGTCGTTCTCTGAGGAGCAGGTTGATAAAACCGTGGCATGACAAAACCGCGCTCGACTAAAGCGCGCCCGATTAAACCGCGTCGCTGACGTCATCAACAGGGCGACGAAAA